AACGGCTCCCCCTGTCCCTGCACACTCAAGGTACCGGCACATTCGTCCCCTCTAACAGAAACAACCCCTGGGGATGGGCGAGAGCTGCCCCTCCCCCCGGCCCAAGGACACTGGGGCTCCAGGGACAGTCGGGGCAGAAAGGTTCAGGCCAGGGGCTCGTGGAGCAGGGCCACCAGCCCAGCACTTCCTGTGATCCCATACTCTCAGCCCATCCCCTCCACCTGGGGGTCAGAGAGGTCACGGGGTTCAAAGTCATGTGGCTGATCAGTGGTGGCCCTAGACGCCCTGCTTCCGACCTCGCTGAGGCTCAGAGCAGGTGACAACCACTCCCGAGGGCACGTGGCTACAAGTGATTTTCGGACAGCCCTCCCGGTGTCCACAACTGGGTCTCCCCTCACCCAACCCCTGGGGACGAGCAGCCTCCAGGATCCTCCAGAATATGGACCCGCAACGGGAGCCCTGTGACGATTTCTACCAGTACGCGTGCGGGGGCTGGCTGCGGCACCACGTGATCCCCGAGACCAACTCGCGGTACAGCGTCTTCGACATCCTGCGGGACAAGCTGGAGGTCATCCTCAAAAGTGAGCTGGCGACACCTGGGGGGCCGGCCCGGGTGAGACTGTACGTCTGCCCCACCCGAGCCGGCAGCGGGCCGTGGGGACAGCCGGCTGAGCCCTCCTCTGTCCGGTGGGCATGAGGGAGAGGGGCGCCCCTGGGATAAAGGCCCAGGGGCTGCAGAGGGACCACCTCTCCCTGAGAGTGGTGGGCGCGTGGGGACCTTTGACCTGGCCCCCAGCAGCCACCTAGGCCTCCGTCCCGCTTTCTCTGGGCCCACAGGGGTGCTGGAGAACTCCACCAGCAAGGACCGGCCGGCCGTGAAGAAGGCGAAGATGCTTTACCGCTCCTGCATGAACGAGAGTGAGTGTGGGGGTGCCGCTCGGAAGAACAAGTGTGGGGTGCCCCCCTGCAGAACGAGAGTGGGGTGCCCCCTGCAGAACAAGAGTGTGGGGTGCTGCCCGGAAGAACGAGTATGGGGGTGCCCCCCTACAGAATGAGAGTATGGGGTGCCCCCCTGCAGAATGAGAGAGAGTGTGGGGGTGCCCCCCTGCAGAATGAGAGTGAGTATGGGGGTGCGACCCCCGCAGAACAAGACTGTGGGGGTGCCCCCCGGCATGAACGAGAGCAGGTATGGGGGTGCTGCCCTGCTAGGACTGGCTCCGCTCCAGGACCCCCGGCCCCTGCAGTGTAGTGTGGACGAACAGCCCCGCTCAGCCGTCACACCCGCCGACTGCCTGGCGGTGACCGCCCACTCCCGCCCCTCCCAGGTGTGATAGAGAAGCGAGGCTCTCAGCCCCTGCTGGACGTCTTAGCGGCGGTGGGCGGCTGGCCAGTGGCCATGGACAAGTGGAACGACACCGTAGGTAAGGCCGAGGCCGGGGACGGCCGCGCACAGACCGGGACCCTGGAGCCGAGGCCTCCCAGGCCCTAGGGAGGACTCAGAGCCCTAACCCCGGGACCCGGGGCTCCCGGCTCCGGACACGGGCTCTGCTCTCTGTGCTCCGGCCCAGCCCCACGTCGGCGGCCGGGCGGGGGCCGCACCCACGGCTGGCAGCCCCTGGCACACTGCTGCTCCCAGGGCCCGGTGGTTCCCTGTGGCCCCCCGAGGTCTGGGTCCACCGTGCGATGAGGGGCCTGGCCGGTCTCCAGCATCGGGCGCTGCCTCCCCAGGCCCCACCTGGGAGCTGGAGCAGCAGCTGGCGGTGATGAACACGCAGTTCAACAGGCGCGTCCTCATCGACCTCTTCGTCTGGAATGACGACCAGGATTCCAGCCGGCACATCATCTACGTACGTGCCGCGCCCAGGGCCGGGCCGACCCCTCATCTGGCTGGGGTTCCCGCGGCTCAGCGGGGAGATGGCCAGGGCTGAGGCCCGAGGGGTAGATGAGTCCATGTATGGCCCCCGGGCCTGCTCCGGTCCACCTCTGTGCTTTGGGGGCCCGTCTGCCAACGGCCCCCATCCTGATCAGACGCCCTGATGCTGAGCTGGCTCTCGGGACCAGCTGTCCCGCCTCTGGTGCCCGGACAGGAAGCCTGACCTCAAGAAGCAACCCTGGCCACAGCCAGAAGGCCAAAGGGACCCGCGTGGCAAACGCCCACCCTTCCCTGCAGAAGCCCACACCCCCTCCCCCAGCGGCCCGCTGCCCGCCACTGGCCACTCGCCCAGCCGGCACACGCCCCAACATCACCCCTTCTGGGTCCTGAGGGGAGGGGAGGGGGCCGCCACCCGCCCGGCCAGGCCCAGGGTCACAGCCTCTGTGTCTCCAGATCGACCAGCCCAGCCTCGGCATGCCGTCCCGAGAGTACTACTTCAGGGAGGGCAGCAACCGGAAGGTGAGTCCGGCAGACGGGCCCCCCTTCCCTGCCGCCCCCCCACAGCTAGACTGTGAGCACCTGCATGGGCGGGGCCTGGCGCCGAGGGCTGGGGACGAGCTTTGTCACCATCCACGCTGTAGGGAGTGTCCCCAAACCCTCAGGGATAAGCTCGGCTCAGCCCCGAGGGGCACACCTTACCAGGCCATGTCACCGGTGCAGGCAGGACTGTGGTCCACAGCAGCGGCTTCCTGCAGGGCCCCCGGAGGGCTGGACGCAGGCACCAGGGCCCTGGGCCTCCCCGCTTAGCCATTCTGCTGCTGCCTCCAAGGGGGAGAGAAATGAGGGGCCCGGCAGTGGCAGGCAGGACCGGGACCAGCCAGGGGCGGAGCGAAATGACCCATAGACCGCAGCGCCAGGAGGAGCAGGGAGCAGAATATGGAAGGGCGGGAGGTGTGAAATGACCCACAGACGGGCCGGGAAGCAATACGGCGGGCCTCCTGGCAGAGGCGGCCGTGAGCCGGGCCGTGGAGGGTGGGGACGGCCAGGGGGAAAGACGAACGTGGTCAATAGCGGGGCCACGGAGCGAGGCCGTGGGGCTGGAGAACCAGGCCAGGGACCCACCCCAGGGCAGCAGGGTCTGGGCGTCTAGAACGGCTTGTGCCCCACAACTGTGGGTCGGGCCGGGCAGGTGCGGTGGCCCCTGTGGTTCTTGCCTGCAGCCCGGAGGGTCCTCCCAAATGGGGCATGGAGGCAGCAGGTCTCAGTGGGCTGAGGCAAGCCTGGCTAGGGCAGCCCGCCCTTAATTTAACCCCAGCACCTGACGGCCCTGGACCTTTTTGAAGCACCTAGTGTGTGCCAGCACTTCAGCTGCGGACATGAAGTCCAGCAGAATAGGCCCCCGGTCCCATGGAACCTCAGGGACATGGGGTCACACGCAGGAAGGGGTGAAATGGGGCACTTGGCTGTGAGCTGCCTTGCTGTGGCCTTGGCCCAGGGCCCAGGCATGGGTCTGGGCACCAAGCACAGGGCGCCCATGGGCAGTGCACCCAGAGGAGTGTGGGTGACAGCGGAGTGTGGGTGACAGTGGAGGGCCTGGCCGGGAGGGTGCAACAGCCTGAAAGCCACCCCGCCTGCTGCCTGCGGGGGCCTGCTCTGTGTCATGCGCCCACCCCCCACAGAGAGCTCCGTGGGGGCCCAGGCTGCCCAGGCCGCCCCACTCCGTGCTGCGTCCTCTGGCCCAGGTGCGGGAGGCCTACCTGCAGTTCATGGTGTCGGTGGCCACGATGCTGCGGGCCGACATGAACCTCCCCGAGAACAGCTACCTGGTGCAGGAGGACATGGCGCAGGTGCTGAGGCTGGAGACGCAGCTGGCAAACGTGAGTCTGGCCCGCTGGTGGGGGCGGGGGAGGCCCTGGGCCCTGGCACAGCCCCTTGTCACCGCTGGCTCCCCGCTTCCCCCTGCCCCGGTGCAGGCTACGGCCCCCCAGGAGGAGAGGCACGATGTCACTGCCCTGTACCACAGGATGGAGGTGGAGCAGCTGCAGAACAAGTTCAGCCTGAAGGTGAGGCTGCCCCCACCCCCGACAGCGTGGATGGTGACAAAGCTGGTCCCCAGCCCTCGGCGCCAGGCCCCGCCCATGCAGGTGCTCAGGGCACACCCCGGCCCAGCCTGCCCCGTTCCTGCCGCCCCCATCTGAGCCTCAGAATGCGCCAGCCCCTGAGCAGGGGGGCCATGTACCTGGCCACCCAAACGGAGACGCTTTCACGCCGCACAGCAGGTGCCACCTGGACTGTCTGGGAAACGGGGCCACTCCACCCGTGAGGTGGCCGCTGTGACGATCTCGGCTTTCTGAGCAGGAAACGGGCTGAGAGGGCTTGTCAACACGACCAAGTCAGGGCTCTCTGTCCCCAAGTCCTGCTCAGACCCCCAGCACGGCTCTGCCCACGGTTTTGGCTGCCCGTGGCCGAGGACCGTCCTCTCCCCGCTGTCCATACCCTGTGCACAGGGGCGGAGCCCTGAGGGGCTGCGCCTGCAGAGGGAGCAGCAGTCCTGCCTTCTAAACTCCAGCAGCGGGGTCGAGTCGGAGGGCGGACAGAGGTCATGGTCAGGGCTGGGCCGAGGGCAGAGGGAGCAGGGCAGGCTCCTACCTCCTGACCGGGTTTCAGAGTCCACTTTATCGACTTATAGAAGATGGGCCCAGCTTCCCTGTGCGGCTACTGTCCTTGGTGTTGCTGAGGAATCTTTGCCCGCTCAAGGTCGCTTAGGTCTATGATCGGCCTCGAGCTTATTTCTTACAGAGAGCAATGTAGAGATCATTTCTGCTCTTCGGTACAGATGTCGGGTGACCCAGCACTATTTATGGAAGAGACTCCCCCTTTACACTGCTCTGCAGGCCACCTCTGTTTAGAGATCAAATCTGATCCGTGTGTCGGCGCGTCATCGTATGTGTGCACCCGTGTGTGTCTGAACACGCTCTATCCCGCTGGTCTTCATCTCCCACGAGCCAGCCGCCCACCACTCCGTGGCTGCAGTGAGAATAAGTCTCTTTGCCGCAGTGAGAATAAGTCTCTTTGCTGCCACAAAGATACTAACCTGCACACGTCACTTCTGCCACTTTGTAGATCCTTTCAGATCAGATGCGCACAAAACCACATCCTCTGTGAAAAGTAACAGCTTTATTTCTCCTCTTTCAAGTCTCACTGACTCTAATTTTACTGACTCGTCTTACTGACCTGGCTCGGACGTCCGGCCTGGCACCGAGGTCGCAGTAGTAGACCTCGCGTGAAGCTGGCCACGTCCCACCGTTCCATGTCACGTTCGCTGCTGTGGCTATTGAGGTTCCTTGTATCAGATTATGGAATCTGTCTAGTTCTAATCCGATAAAGAGTTTTTATCGGGAGTAGATGGCTACTTTTACGAAATGCCTTTCTGCATCTACTAAGATCAACGTGATTTTCCTCCTTGATGCAGTTATCCAAAAAGATTTTCCTCCTTTATTCGGAACATACCGATTTTTCAAATGTTACACCAAACTTGAATCCCTTGAATAAATCTAACTTGGCCGTGATGCGTTATCTATGTTACCCAGGTATGGATGGATTCTAGTCGCTAATATTTTGCTTAGAGTTTTTGGTATCGGTGATCACGAGACTGGCCTACTATTTTCTTGTAATATCCTTACTTTGGTAGGAAAGTTGTTCCCAGCCCCGTAAATCAAGTCAAAAGGAGTTTTCTATTACTCTTTTCGGGGAAGTTTGAGTAGATTGGCAGTGTGTCTTCCCGGAATGTCATACAGACTCCACTGGAACACCAGATAGGTCAGGAAATTTCTATGTGGAAATATTTGAAATTAAAGATCCAGTTTATGACAAATAAGACCGTATTTTCCATGTCTTCTTTAATCGTTTTTGCTAAGTCGTGTTTTTCCAGGCGTCTATCCATCACGTTTAAGTCTCCGAATATATTGGCATAACCTCTTACCCTTTCACAGTCCCTAGGCTCTGTAGTGATGTCACCCGTCTTTGTCCCGGTTCCGATCACCTGTGCCTTGTTTCTCGAGCATGCTTTGGTGGGGGCTGTGTTTCTCGGAGGCGGGGCGCTGTGCCTCCCTCTCTCTCACCCCCTCCTTCCCCAGGGATTTAACTGGACTCTCTTCATACAATCCGTGCTATCCTCTGTCAAAATCAAGATGCTGCCGGGCGAAGAAGTAGTAGTCTACGGCACCCCCTACCTCCAGAACCTGGAAGACATCATCGACCTCTACTCAGCCAGGTGAGGCCCGGGGGAGGTGGCAGGAAGCGTCCTTGCCCCTGCTCTGCCCCTGTCCCAGCAGCAGCTCCTCCCAGGGAGGGACCACGGAGCACGGGCTCTGAGGCACGAAGGACCTGGAGAAATGCATGTTAGCGGCCAGTGGAGCCTTTCCTTAGAGGCATCGCGAGCATCCAGGGCAGACACGCTGTCCCTGGGGGGCTGTCCTGGAGGTTTTCCCCACCACCCTGAACTCCCTGCTTGGGACAGAACCTCCGGCCTGGGGACCATGAGCCGTGGCCCCTCCCTGGGCAAACGGCACTCCCCTGTCCCCGCCCGGCCCCCGCTGCCGCCCATAGGACCATGCAGAACTACCTGGTCTGGCGCCTGGTGCTGGACCGCATCAGCAGCCTGAGCCGGCGATTCAGGGACGCACGTGCCAACTACCGCAAGGTATGTGCCGTCGCGCAGAGGTGGCCCCCACCCGGCCGGCTCGCCCCGCTGAGCGCCGGGGCCCTGGGGTCAGAGCCACGCAGGACCCGCCGGGCAGCGAGCGGCGGGTGGGGGGCAGCAGCCCCGAGATCTGCTCTTTCGAACCAACAAGCACGGCGTGAGGGCGGGGCGAGGGCGGGGCAGCCTCTCCCGGGAGGTGACACTGGACATCGTAAGGCAAGGGCGATGCAGGCCCGAGACGGGCACGGCAGGTGCAGAGGCCCCGGCCGGTGGGGGAGGAGGCGGGCCGCCGGGCAGCGAGCGGCGGGTGGGGGGCAGCAGCCCCGAGATCTGCTCTTTCGAACCAACAAGCACGGCGTGAGGGCGGGGCGAGGGCGGGGCAGCCTCTCCCGGGAGGTGACACTGGACATCGTAAGGCAAGGGCGATGCAGGCCCGAGACGGGCACGGCAGGTGCAGAGGCCCCGGCCGGTGGGGGAGGAGGCGGGGCCGCCATCCAGGCAGAGCATGGGTCACACGCGTGAAGGCCCTGGCTGCTGGGGGCGGGGGACCCGCGGAGAGGCCCCGCGGTCACGCTGGCTGTTCTGGGCAGTGACCTGCGGGGCTGTGGAGCTGGGAGTGGAGGCACAGGGGAGGCTGGGGCCGTCATCCGACAGGCAGGGGGCTAGAAAAGGGTGTGGCCAGTGCATGGCTCCAGGGGAGGTGCTGAGGTGCTGACAGCAGACGGGTGTGGCATCTGTACCTGACACGGAGGATGAGGGACCCCGGAGCCAGGGGCACTCCGAGGTCCTCTGCCAGACTGATGGGCGGAGGCCCCCACTGCCATGCCACGGGCGCCGGGGCAGAGCAGGTGGGGGCAAGTCCAGGCTCCTGCTCTCACGTGCCGAGCTGGAGACTCCCACCAGCCAAGCATCAAGGAGGGAGCCGAGTCCTGGAGCTCTGAGGGAAGAGAAGGGGTCACACTGACTTCTCGGGGGGCAGAAAACCCCAAGGCCCCAAAAGGTGTGGCTGGATGCCAGGCGGAGCTCTGGGATGACGTTCGGGGCAGGGGCCTGATGGGACATGTTTCTGTCTTGCGCCCCTGCACCCCTGGGGAAGGATCGGCAGACGTTCTCACTGCCACTTGGATGACGAGGAAGCCGGGGCCCAGAGACCCCGGGGCCGAGCCGGACTCGCCCTGTGTTTTGGGAATGGGGCTGGAGTCCTCCAGGGCAGAATCTGGGCGGACAGCCAGGCCAGGGTGGTGAGGACAGGGGACAAGGCATAGCTTAGGGCCAGGTAGGAACCCCCCAGCCCCACCCTGGGGTGAAGGCCCAACTCCCTGCCTGCTCAGGACCCCCACCTCAAAACTGCAAACTCGGCCCTCCCCTCGCCTGCGTGCAGCATTCCGAGGCGAGGCTCTGAGTTCGTCCCGTGTCCCCTACCAGCCCCTGGGCCCCTGAGACCCAGGACCGGGAGGCGGGTGTTGGGGAACGAAGGGACGAACGCGTGTGCGCTTGCACGACCGCCAGGCGCTGTACGGCACCACGGTGGAGGAGGTCCGCTGGCGGGAGTGCGTCAGCTACGTCAACAGCAACATGGAGAGCGCCGTGGGCTCGCTGTACGTCAAGGCCGCCTTCCCAGGAGACAGCAAGAACGTGGTGGGTGCTCGGCGACCCTGTGCAGCCCCCCACCCGAAGGGACACCAGCCCCTGCGAGGACAGGCGGCATCACCACCGCCTGGCGCTGTGACTCCGGGCTCCCCACGAGGGACCGCGCTGGCCCGCCAGCAGCACATGTGCTCTCGGGGTACAGGGGTGGGGGTGGGGGGGACATATTCCCCTGGTGCCCACCACACGGGGTCGGAGGGGGCGGAGGCCAGAAAGCCTCGCCCATCCGCGCCTATGGCCCCCCTAGTCAGGCATCGGCCACCCACACCCCCACCCTGCAGGCTGCCCGGGAAAGGGTACAGCTGTGAGTTCTGGGGGAGGCCCTAGGTCCCCTAGGACAAATCGCAGCGGTAGAGACCCTGACCCCGGGTCATCCTCCCCAACCCCACACCACACCCGGAGAAGCCCACAGTGGGGCTGCGCCTCGGACCAGCCCCCTGCAGCGCCCCCAGTGCTGGTCGTCCCCAGGTCAGAGAGCTCATCGATAAAGTGCGGGCAGTGTTTGTGGAGGCGCTGGACGAGCTGCGCTGGATGGATGCCCCGTCCAAGAAGAAGGCCCAGGAGAAGGTGGGTGGGCGCTGGAGACCCGAGGCCGGGGCCTCGCGCGCGGAGGGGGCCGTCGGCCATCTCACCCACTTCAGCGTGAGGTCAGAGCGCGGGGTAGCTGGCCCGAGGGAGGACTGTGGGCAGAGGCAGGCCCGGAAGCCCGTCCTGGGAGACCCCCCAGCACCCTGGGAATGGGTGGGGTGGCCATGGCCTCACGGAGCAGCGCACCCAGCAGTGAGGCCAAGACCCACAGGAGCTCCTCTGGGCTAATGTGCCAAACAGAAGTGGCTCTGCCCGGCCCTCGCCCCACCAGACCCCAAGCTGGCCTCCAGGTGCACAGGTTGGCCCCGGGCCAAGCCCTTCCACATCCTGTACCCGGGCCGAGCCCTTCCACATCCTGTACCCATTAAACCTCCTCGCAGCCTGCAGTGAGGGGCCGAGTCCCTTAGCCCCTGACCCGCATGGCGGGGGCGGAGCCAGGATGCCAGGGAGAGGCAGGCGCAGGCGCAGGCGCAGACCCCACCTCTCCTCCCCAGGCCATGAGCATGCGGGAGCAGATTGGGTATCCGGACTACATCTTGGACGAGAGGAACAAGCACCTGGACGAGGAGTATTCCAATGTGCGCCCCTCCCCCGGCCAGCCCCACCTGCCCCTGCGGAGCATGCGCCCTTGATCTCCTGGGGCAGAGACTTGGGGGGGACGGGGAGGCTCTAGCATTACCTCCTTAGGGACAGAG